CCCCTTTTCTGAAGAAGGGTCCAGACCCGAAACGTCAGCCTTCCTGCTCCTCTGATGCTGCTTGGCCTGCTGTGTTCATCCAGCTCTACACCTTGATATCTCAGATTCTCCAGCATCAGCAGTTCCTACTAACTCTATTGCTGTGCACTTTCTATTGGTCATGTTTATGAATTACTCATTTTTTCATTGTCATTTTATTGTGTTCATATTGATTTATTTTTGCTCAGCAAATTTTTTTTATAAAATTACATTTTTGAAATTCGTGTTTTAATGTGTAAAACCAGAGGTCAGATATCTGCTGTGCTTCTTTCTGAATGGGAATACAAAGCTCACATGAAGATGTCTGGTGGCTTTTTGGAGGCTGGGAAAAGGGTTTAAATTTTATTCCTTCATTCGTGGGATGTGGGTGTTGTTTGCATTTATTGTCCATCCCTAACTGCCTTTGAGAAGGTGGAGGTGAGCTCTTTGAACCGCTGCAGTTCATTTATTGTAGGTAGACTCATACTGATGTTAGGAAAGAAGTTGAAGGATTTTGACCCAGTGACACTGAAGGAACAGCAATATGTTTCCAGGTCAGGATGGTAAGTCATGATGTGGAGGTGCTGGTGTTGGACTGGGGTGGACAAGGTCAGAAATTACACGACACCAAGTTATAGTCCAACAGGTTTATTTGAAATCATAAGCTTTTGGAGCGCAGCCCCTTTGTCAGTTGAAGTGAGAGAGAAGCACACAGAACACAGAATTTATAGTAGAAAGATCAAGAGCAGAGAAATCAAAAGGTCATACAAATAGTGTGAGTCAATTAATAAATCTCTGCAGGTGATCCGAAGTGTTAGATGGTGTGAGTAGCCACTGAACAACAAGCAAAGAGATGACCCTATAGTCCGATTAATTGAGGCAGAGAGATAATTACAAAAAATTAAAAATAGGGTGGTGCTGGAGACAAGCCAAAAGACTGGAATAACATGATTGATATAAGAGTCGCATGCCCAGGGTCTAACCAAAGTAATAAATAATCCAAAACTGTACAAACTATTTAAGGTAGAGAGAACATAACAATGTATCCAGGTGATGGTGACAAAACAGGACAGTAAGGAAGATACTTGACTTGGATAGCTTAACAACTTCCTGTGGCAGTTACTTTGATAGGTTCTCTTAACTGCCACTTTGGATACTTTTGGTAGTTGATTTTGACTGGTCTGTGGACTGTTCCAATGAAGTTGACAGCTAGTCAGTTTAGGCACATTCATGCCCATCTTTATGCCAATTCCAGATGACACATTATATTCTGCAAAGAGCACCCGACCTCCCCTGAAGGCATCTGGGGAACAGATCCAAAGGGGTACCCTGGATATCAAAGGAAATGCACAAAGTTCAGAGCTGCACCTAGGAGACCTACTCCGCATGTTTTGGGTTTCACAGTCCTAGGTGACCAAAATCACACAGGAGTGCTAATGATTTAAATGGCTAGCTGCCTCCATGAACCGCACATGTGTGAATCTCAGTCTGCTTCCATTTTCGTTCTTGCAAGAATGGAAAGTGCTATTTTCAGTGGCAGGGAACTTGCGATTTCTGGCCTCATTCACCATTTTCATCATGTGGCAAAGAGCGAGACCATAAATAGTTTCAAGAGTGATGAGAATTAGCGTGTTAAAGAGAGATGAACATTGTTTGGCCAAAATTTCCTATCTTCTTGACATTCCTTATGTTTTCTGAAATGCATTATAACTTTCAACTTTGTCTTGACCTTTATTTCACAGGTTTTCCATGCTTGGTATGACGCCAGTACATGGTCAGAGGATATTGTCATGCTGTATAGAGCACTCGATTCATCAATAGAACTGATTCAGTTTGTGTTAACAAGACCTATACTGTACTTTTGTTATTCGTTTCTGTGTTCCACACTTACTGCGCTTACATAAAACCCAGAGATGTAATCAATTTGTGCATGTGGTGCGTAATGTTTAGTATGTGTGGGAGATGGGTTTCTCTCCAGACTAAGTTACTTTGTGAAAGTGTACCATTAGTACCAGAGTGCCTAGTTGAAAATTTAAACAAAATATGGCAGAAAACTTTCAATCATCATTAACTGTTGCATGCTGTATGGGCATTGCCTCCACCGATCAGAGTCTACTTGCCAGCCAATCCGCAGTCTCCTCTGATAAAATATAAATTATCCTGAATAGTACAAAATGAAAACCTCATACAAATTGAAAAGCTTCAACAGAATGTGTCTTTTTCAGCAATACTCAAATTTTGTATCTCCTAAGAAATATGTGTCAGCCAACAGGCCAATTGACTCCCTCATCCGTATTTACTTTTGTGATCTCTTGGAAAATGTAATTGCTAACCATAAATTTGCTGCTTCTTGCTTACAGGCTAAGGAAGAACCTGAAGTCATTAATAATTGTTCACCCGTCCTGGTTTATTAGGACTGTGCTGGCAATTTCCAGGCCATTCATTAGGTAAATACTACCACATTCTACCACTTGTCACTATTTTGACTGTATCTATATTAAGCTTATTGTCAAATTCACACACAGTCAGTAACTGGAAGAGCACAGAGCTACTAAACCCATGAGAACAGGTCTGATTGGACTGTAGGAAAGAAACTGATGAGTGTTAATAGTTAGAATTAGTGCAGCACCATGAATATGGCGTGGGAAAATCAGCCAGGATTTCTGTTTATCACTAATACCCAATGTTGCCGACTGGAGTTAGTCCAGGCCACAGTTCTGAGAATGAGGTTATTTTACACAAGTCGGTGTGACAAAGACGAAATGAACATGGATGCTCATCCTATTTCTGCGTAATTGATGAGCTATGTTAGTTTAGGGGGCAGTAGCTTCTGCCGGAATGGACAGTGAGTACTGGAGGGTCATCCGGGAGATTCAGTTTCTCGGAAGGAAGCTTCACCAACGAGAGAAAGGCTGGAGGGCTGGCTTGAGGTAAATTAGAATTAGAAGTAGGTTTATTGTCACATGTACTCAAGTACAGGGATACATGAGTATAGTGAAAAGTGTACAAAGTCACTATTTCTGGCGCCATCTTAGTACAAAGATACCTAGGTACAAAATCTTAGATATAAATTAGTTATCAGACTTTATGTGAGAGGTCATCGGAGGAATCAGGCCTGGGTGAAGATGTTAGGGAACACCTGACCTAGGGACTGGGATGATCAGGGGATACAGCCTGAGGTTCTGGGAGCAACATTCCAGGTACTGACCGGGGGCTAGTCAAGCCATCTGGGTTCCTGGTGCTTTCTGCAACAATTAAAAATGTACTTACAGTGGCTTTGTGATGCTCTCTTAGCTTCCATGATGTTGCGACAGGCAGACAAAGCAATGGGGGAAAATCAGTAAATGCCCCAATGGCAGAAACATGCACCTGGATGTAGTCTGGCTCAGTATCCCAATTACAGTTCACTGTTTTATTAGTATCCTTGTTGGGAGACTTCAGGATAGTATTTGGCAGCCAAAGGAACTGACATATTATAAATTGATAATCTCTGGAGTTACCTGTATGAATGGTTCTTTAATCGTCATGTTTCTATCTTGTGTTTTTTTTATTCAGTTTTAAGTTCATGAGTAAGATTCAGTACGCTCACACTCTCTCAGAACTGGAGCAGGCCATTCCAATGGAGCAGGTGCAGATTCCTGAATGTGTTTTACAGTACGTATCAATATGAGGCAAGACTGTGTCCTGTAGTGCCTGGTAATGTTCTCAGCCAGTTAAACTTTAAAAACTTTTCACACTTGTTCTCCTTCCAGTGACTTAGTTCTCAATACATTGTTCAGCATTGTAATAAGTTATAAAGACCAGAAGGTCACAGGTTCAATCCCAAAGTTCAGTTAATCGTCATCATTTCAGGAGTAGTAGAGGTCTCCAGTTGGCTTCCAGATCCTGGGTTATAAGATGGAATGTTCCAAGTCTTTTCAGGATGTTGATGGAGATGGGGGATGTTTGGCAGAGTGGCATGAGAAACTATTGAGTAGAGTGCCCATCCTTTTCCCTTACCATATCATTTTTCCAGCATGGGAAATATGGCAGATGACCAGTTCTCCTGGAGCCCAACTGATTACTTAACTGGCCAAATAAGGGCAATGGCCAGTTGAATCCAGAGGGGAGCCCTCCAGCACATGGGCAAACCATCAGGTAAGCCCTGGCAGCCTCCAATCAGGCTCTGTGGGGATTGTGAGTCCTATTTTGGGCACCCTTTAGACCAAAGATGGGAACTCTGGCATCAATGGCCATTCCCACAGCATTAGTGCAGTCAACCCTAAGCTACTGCCTCAGCAGGGCCTGTCTCAGTACCCTAAGGCATCCCATCACCAGCCCCCCCCGCCGCTGCCCACCTCCCCACCTTGTTGCCTGAGCAAGACACCATCAGAGCCCCATTGCATAATGAATGCGATGGAAAGCAGAGGATTGTGTGAGAAGAGTTGGTCTGTGCCATGGTGGACCAGACACCTTGAATGCCACTCAACAGAACACTTTTTCACTGACAATAGAAAAATTCTGCCCCTTGACTGTTAGTAGCATTCTCAGCTCTGAGTCACAGATTGTGTAAAAGTGCTCCAATGCAACATAAGAACATAATCACAGGCAAAGCCTCAATGATTTGATAAGGAGGAGCTGTATTTTTGGAGTTGCCATCTTTGTTAGGAGACGTAAACTGTTGGTGCCACTGAGTTGGTTTGGAAAAATATGGAACTTGGTGTCTGAATGGTTGTGCTACTGAATTAATAATCTAGAAGATGGGCTAATAAGCCGGGCAAGTGAGTTCAAATGTCACAATGGCAAATTGAGAATTTGTATTCAGTGTGAAATACAATGCTTATATCCAGTATAAATAAAAGTGACAACTACCTGTTTAATTCACTCATGTCTTTTATGAAGAAAACCTTACAACCTTGCACAGTTTAGTTGATTTGAGTGAGTTTAGTCCAATATTAGTGTGGCTGACTCTGAATGGCTCTCTGAAAATTTCTATCAAGCCACCTTCATCGGTGTAGCTGGGGATGGACAATAACCGTTGAGGCCAACATGGAGTAGGCCATTTGGCCCCTCCTTCTCTGGAATTCGATAAAATCATGGCTAATCTGATTGTGGTATCAGCCCACTTCTCCGCCTATTCCCTTTACCATTTGCCTTCATCATTAGTCATGAATCTATCTACCTCTGCTTTAAAAATATTCAGTGACCCTGTGTCCACCTGTCTCTGAGGAAAATCTCACAGCCATCTGAGAGAAAAGATTTTGCTTCGCTTCAGTCTTAAATAGGAGAGCCCTTATTTTTAAATTGTTCTAATTTCTCCTACAAGGGGGAAACAACCTCTCAGCACCTACTAAACTGTTAAGTTGCTGTAGGATCTTATATGTTTCAAAAAGATTACTTCTCAAACACCAATTGAATATGCCAACATGTCCAACCTTTCCTTCTAAGTTAAATCGTCATCCCAGGAATCAGTTGAGTGGCCCGTCTCTGAGCTGGTCCTAATGCAATTAAAGGGTGTTTCATTGCTGTTTTTGGGACCTTGCTACGTGATCAATTGGCCCCTGAATTTACCTGTACAATAATAGATGACTGCATTTGAAAGTATGTGGTGACTTGAGAAGATTAAGAGATGTGATAAATCTCTTTTTTTATCTTACAGATTCGAGGAAGAAAGAATAAAGTCAAGGAGGCCCAGGTAAATACTCTGAATCAGTTCTCTCATTGCTTCACACTCAATTGAGAAGAATTAATTTTTAACTATTTTTAATAGAAGACTTATGTTTGTTTTATTTTTATTTCACAATGTGGTTTCTATTACTTCAGAAGAAATTTTGAGATCAAGATAATAAGGTTAGGCTGAACTGATCTGAACCCAATCTACCTATTTTCTGTCATATTTCTTGATAACCTCATCTGCAGGAACACAATTAACTTTCTCCTGAACTTTTTCCCTCCTTTCTGCAGTTTCCATATTGTTCACTCAGTACTGTGTTTTTAGCTAACATATTCCTTGATAATCTGTTGGAATGGTGGGGAAAAATAACTACTTCTTTGAAGTGAATTTGTCTGAATTGTCCAGATCCTCTTCTCCTTTCCTGACTGCAGACATGTGCTAGGTTCCACGGGCACTCTCTCTTTTCAATATTTTGCAAAAGTGGCCGCAATGTGAGAAGCTGAAATGGGAGTGGCAACTGGCTTTAGTTTAAATGGGGAAGTGTCAGTTCACACATAAACCAAAACTGACCCTATTCATCACCCAAAGACAAAATTAACATATATAGATAGATGTTATAGGTAGGGTAGTTAAGAAGGTGTTTGGCACACTTGCCTTCATGGCTCAGACCTTTTAAGTTAAGAGTTAGGACATCATGTCGAGGTTGTACAGGACATTGCTGAGGCTTCTTCTGGAGTACTGTGTCAAGTTCCGGTCTCCCTGTTATAGAAACGATATTATTAAGCTGGAGAGAGTTCAGAAGAGATGTTGCTGGGAATGGAGGATTTGAGTTAGAAGAGGCTGGATAGGCTGGGATCTTTTCACTGGAATGTAGTAGGTTGAGAGGTGACCTTATAGAAGTTGGTAAAATCATGAGGGATACAGATAAGGTGAATGGCAGGTGTCTTTTCCATAGGGTGAGGGATTTCAAGACTGGAGGGCATATTTTTAAGGTGAAAGGAGAAAGATTTAAAACAAAACATGAGAGGCAACTTTTTTACACAGAAAGCGGTTCATATATGGATTGAACTTCCAGAGGAAGTGGTGGATGCAGATACAGTTACAACATTTAAAAGACATCTAGATAAGTACATGAATAAGAAATATTATGAAGGATATGGTCCAAGCACAGGCAGGTGGAACTACTTTAGTTGGGATTATGGTTGGTATGGACTGGTTGAATTAAAGGGTCTGTTTCCGTGCTGTATGACTTTATGACTCTATGACAGAGATGACTGGGTGGTAAACAAGCTGAGTGGGAGTGGAGAGACTCTACTGAATCTCACCTGTCTACCTCTGTCTACCTGTATCTTCAATGAGAGAACATGGCCTTGAGAATGAGTCAGAGATACTGGTGAAATGGATTTAGCAGTGACTGTCCTATGCAACAATTCTGTTTAATAACAAAATTCTATGTGTGTGACTTTTTTTTAACAGGACAGAAGACGGTCAGTCCGTGATTGAGAAAAACAGGTGATTATACAGCTAGTAAAGGCAATGTTTATAGATCTATTACATAATCTGTGAGGAAACAGTAAATTTTTGGAAGTTTAATTTTGTGAAATAAAGTTAAAACTGAAGAATATTGAAAGTTCCCAGACAATCAAGAAAAATAACGTTAGATTTTGGATGGCATTTTTGTAACTTAACTATGTAGGAGCTAATGAGATTTCTCTTCTCTGTGACACAGATCTGGAGCTGCAGCTGAAGAGCAGGAGTAAAGGTCTGTATCTCGTGGTTCTTAGAGTGGGCACGGTCATGATGGGCCAAATGGCTTTCTCTGCTGTACTGTGAACTGAGAGTGAGGATACTGAAGCAGCAAATGTGATTATATCTGGAAATGTAAATTTTTCAAAATTTAACGTAATTCATGTTTAAAGAACATATCTTGTATCTTGTACCATCAGCCTCCCCTTTAAAGATAAACCCTTACACTTGTGACTACTGTCTTGTCATCTACTGGATCAGCCCAGAGAGCCCTCTACTTGACTGCTGTATGGCACATGTCTCAGACTGATTGCTGCTCATTCCCAGCTTATCTCATTTCTCCAAAGCTCTCCTTAAATTTCAACTGTGCTGCCTGGACCATTTTTATTTATTCGTGGGACATGGGTGTCGCCGGCTGGCTAGCATTCATTGATCTTAAGAAGATGATGGTGAGTTGTCTCCCTGAACTGCTGCAGTCCTCATACTGTGGGTTGGCCCACAGTACCCTTAGGGAGGGAATTTTGACCCAGCAACAGAGAAGGGATTTCAATATGTTTCCATGTCAGGATGGCGAGTGCAGGTCATGGTGTTCCCATGTATCCACTGCCCTTGTCCTTCTAAGTGGAAGTGATTGTGGGTTTGGAAGGTGCTGTCTGATGTTTCTTTGGTGAATTTCTGCAGTGTATCTTGTAGATAGTACACACTGCTCCTACTGAGCATCAGTGGTAGAGGGAGTGGATGCTTGTGGATGTGGTGCCAGTCAAGTTGACTGCTTTATCTTGGATAATGTCAAGCTTCTTGAGTATTGTTGGAGCTGCACCCATCCAGATAAGTGGGGAATATTCCATCTCACACCTGACTTGTGCCTTGTAGATGGTAAACTGACTATGGGAAGTCAGGAGGTGCATTACTCACCACAGTATTCCTACCTCTGATATGCTCTTGTAGCCACTGTGTTTATATGGCAAGTCCAGTTGAGCTTCTGGTCAGTGGTAACCCACAGGGTGTTGATAGTGGGGGATTCGGTGGTGGTAACACTGTTGAATGTCAAGGTGCAGTGGTTAGATTGTCTCTTATTGGAGATGGTCATTGTCTGGCATTTGTGTAGCACAAATGTTACTTGCCACTTGTCAGCCAAAGCCTAGATATTGTCCAGATTTTGTTGCATTTGAGTGTGGACTGCTTCAGTATCTGAGGAGTCGCAACTGGTGCTGAGCATTGTGTAATCATTGGTGGACATCCTCAATTCTGACCTTATGATGGAGGGAAGGTCATTGATGAAGCAGCTGAAGATGGTTGGGCCTAGGACACTACCCTGAGGAGCTCCTGCAGAGATGTCCTGGATCTGAAATGACTGATCTCTGACAACCATTTACCATCTTCCTCATGTGCCAGGTCTGACTCCAACCAGCAGAGGTGGTCCCTGATACCCATTGATACCGGTTTGCTAGGGCTCCCTGATGCTGCACTCAGTTGAATGTGGCCTTGACGTAAAGGGCTGTCACTGTCACTTCACCAAGCTTAATACCAAATCTCACTTGCCTCTCTCTGTTGTCATCCCTGATTTCCATTGTCTCTCTGTCACTGTCATATTACATTTCAGATCTTCATCTTTAAATCCCTCCACCACCTTGCTGCATCCTCTTTCTGTGAATGCTTCCTTGCATTCTTCAGTCCTTTTGTTTGCCTTCTCTGTTTACCCCATTACAATTGTGGATCATTCAGAAGCACTGGGTTTGCTGTCTAAAGCCAGCTGCCCCACTTCTCCTCCTTTAATAACTTTGTCAAAGCCCATCTGATTCATCCAGTGTCATGCCATCTTTCCTAACCCACCCAGCCCCCTTTGATCTTTCTGTTTGGAATGCCTTCAAATATTTTCCAGCCAAAATGGGTTATATAATTTGTTATTTAGTGAGTTTTCTCAAATTTAGAGTTTATGCAAATTGGTACATATTTAATATTTTCTAAATCTTATTCTCAATCCATTGTTCTTTGATTAGTCACTTTACATCTGAATTGTTTCAAATTGATATGACTTATTGGCCATATTAAAAGACTCTGATGGTGCTGTGAGGATGTGTAATCCTGCAGAACTCAGTTTGACCAGCAAGGGTCACCACCATCATAAAGCAATGCATGATCATAACTGATCTGAATTCCAGCACACTCCACTTGTTGGAATTAAGCACTGTTACACAACTTCAGTATTTTCCTGTCTTCCTCTCCCTCCACACAGATTGTTGTTGTGTTGTGATGTTTGCCTGTTCTGTCGGCTACAGAGAGAAGGGCTATGGGAAAGACCCCATGGATTTTCTCGACAAAGAAGCAAACGGCTGTCCCTTTTCCTTACAGCTGTGGTAATCCGTGCCTGAAAGTGGGAGAAAACTCTGAGCTCTTATGCTGTAGTCCCAAGCCCTAAACCGTTGTGCATCTCAGTGATACATTAGAAATGCATTCCAAACAAATCTGAGAATCAGGACTTTTGTTTGACTGATATGCATTTGAGGGGACCGTGGATAAGCGCAAGATGGAGAAAGGAAGGATATTTTGATAGGACAAGAGAAAGTTTTAGATGAGAGAGGATTCACACAGAATCTGGATATCAGCATAGATCATTTGAGTTGAATGGTCTATTTTACTGCTGTGTAATTGGATCAGGACAGTTTCTAAAATATAAAATTCATCTACTGAGGTAAGTATAAGACAGAGGGGGCAATTTAAAGTAAAGCCACATGGTAATAGATGCAGGCAGAAGGAATGGTTACAGATCTATTATTAAACTTATTATTCAGTTACTCCCAAACCTCTGTCTTGTCCAACTCCTCACTCTGGAGTACAAGTCTCATGGATTCTGTCTGACCTCTGGTACTTCACTGATGTGATGAATTTTTATGTATGAACCCTGGCAATGAATGGCGCCAGGATATTCGACTGTGGCAGCATCATACATTGGGACTGACCCAATCCAGCCCCATCATACCTGTCCATTTCCCAACAGGAATCACTGCATGGTGAGGATGAACAGGAACCACACTAATTGTGCCCAACTCCTACTTAGGGAATATCAAGAAAATGAAGGGTGTAAGAAATGGGAAATTTTAATTTTGGTCCATTGGGATATTCCTGGTCTATGTAAGTGAGTTTCCTATCAAGACACTTGGAAAGCTGACAATTTGTGCATGAAATATTGAAGTTCAAGCTTAAATGAAGTAATTCAGTCATGATTATTGTAGTATATCAATTTTGACCAATCTATATCTTTCCATTTTAGGAAGCTAAGAACCTTCATATCAAAGACTGGAATTCAGAGAAAACTGGATGAAGTTCATGACAAGAAAGTTGTTTTGAAATAATGTGACCAAGTTTGATGGTTATAAGAATTGACTTTCACTCTCTGCCACTGATTCCAGGATGCAGACACTGGCCCCCATGTTCATTGGAACTCAGTTGCCCCTGATCAGGCCATTTTAACATGACATGGGGTTTCTTATGTCATACATGAAAACTATGTGGGACATGGTCATAATCCTATTGCCAAAAGAGTACCCCAAGCATAGCTGTTGAGAATCATTTAATATCTCTGTTTCTTCATCTAATTTACTGAAGCACTGATGTTGCTGTACTGTGAGTTCCACGGGCACAGATTTCCCTCCAATACTGCAGCTGGGGCTAATATTTGTTAGCTTCAAGGCTGATCTGGATAATCTGTTGTGGAGGTATCAAAGCCTAAACTCAGTTCTCTCCTTAACCAACTCTTATACATTGGAGTGTCCGACTAACAGTCCAATGAAGGCAGTAGCCTTAGGTGTTCTTCCCCAGTTCCATTGTATTAAAAGGCTCTACAAAAGGATTCTCCACCATCAACAGTGATGGGTAATGAGGATTCTAAAGATAATTGTTCTGGGAAAGGTCATATTGCTACATTTCAGCTTGCTGTTAAGGCAGAATAGGAATCTTTTACAGCATTCAACCCTCAATTACCTGAGGCTGGCATTGGTGCATAGGCAGTTTGTTCATTTTTTTCCACTGAACATTATCACCCTGATATATAATACTAAATACAAAAATGACTAAACCATGGGGTTGGTGGGGGGTTTGGTGACAGGGTCAGGTCCAATGTATCATTGAATAGTAAGGTGATCCCAGAAGTTTTAGGATTCTGTTGGGGAACAAAGTACATTAGGATGAATGCAATATGCTCTCCCCTTGTGACCAGCAAAGTCTCTGATCCAGTCCCTGGTCTCTACTGGGTTGGCTAGGGTGGCAGTGTAGATGCTGCACGGTTGGCATCTCCCATGGTTGTGGGGAGGGTGGTGGTGGTGTGGGGGTTGTATTAAAGTTCTTTTTATTCATTAATGGATGAGGGCGTCGCTGGCCAGGCAGCATTTATTACCCATTCCTAATTGCCCAGAGGGCAGTTGAGAGTCAACCACATTTGTGGGTCAACCACAAAGTGGGAAAGACAGTATCTGTCAGGTGTCCCACTCCTGTTCACAGTCCAATAACTCCTCCTGCCAGGCGTCTGGGATGTTAGGGGACAGAAAGGGTCAAGTAGGTGTCTGTGACACCGACAATGATTGAGGGAACAGTGCAAGGACAATCATTGCCCATGGAAACTAATGACAGCAAGTCAGTGCTTTGAGGGGAAATAGGGAGAGGGAATCTACGGAAATGCTGTTTCGCTGGATTAGTAAGGTGAGAGTGGAAGGCAGGACTGTCTGAAGATTAACCTGCTCTGGTGGCAGAGAGTGAGGTCTGACCAATCAGGTGAAACACACACCCAGCTGACAATCAGATTGGTCAAATAAGTTGAAAAATTCCCAATTGATGGGTCAGTTACTGCAAGTATTTTTTGTTTGTTTAATAATTCTAGTTGTAATCATTGTTCACTTTGAATGTATTATGTGTACAGTTTTAAAACCTTTGATTTTTCATTGTCACTAATTGCGAAGAATTGTTGACTTAAATTCAAGCTCTTATCTAACATGCTTGCTCCCTATGCTGCAGTGTGAACCACCCAGTGTGTAATTAACAGCTGCAAAAATTGTAAAACTCGCTGGAAATATTCATCCCACACTGGAATTTTTAGTGAACAAATCTTGTGGAACCCCTTGATGGATTTTTCTTGAACATCTTACTGTTAAGATCTTTTAAATTAGTGTCTGTCAGTGGCTTTTTGTAGGAACACCTGTGACTTTCCCCAAAAGGTGCGGTTCTGCTCCTGGGAAGTGGCAAAAGCCATGGAATTGAATTAACTCTTAATACGAAAGCAAAATGCTGCAGACGCTGGAAATCTGAAATTTAAAAACAAATGAAATGCTGGAAAGGTGCAGCAAACGCTGGCTGCACTACTGGAGAAAGAAACAAAGTTAACATTTCCAAGTTAATCTTAAACCAGTAACATCCTTTCCCTTTGTCACCGGGTAACAAGGAGGGCACAGGAATTAATCCAGCTCTGTTGATACTCCCAGGTCTTTTAAATGGAGCCCCTAATGTAGATAGAGTTTGGGTTTGCCCACACCCATAGGCTGCACATGGCTCCTGGGACAAATGATAACGTCCATGTTATACTGATTTCACAGATCGGTTAAAAATTGAAGTTGCATTGGGTCCCAGAAAGTCTCACTCAGGCCTTTAGGAAATAGTAGTTTTCTACCATCTCCCCATCATCCTATTTGATCACTCCATTGGACTTTATTAAAGACCGGACTGGCTGTGGGATTTTTAACAAAGCTCGCGTGGCTTCGCTGACTAGAGGGAATCAGGAGCTATTGAGAGGCAGATGTATCCCAGAGCGTGAAAAGATCATATTAAATTAAACCAGTAGTTTTACTGTTCCTTCTGTTAAAGGCCCCGTCCTGCACTTGGCAATGCCTAAGGCAGCATGATTGAATCCAGCAGCTTGCTGTGGACATATGGAGCTCAGACCCATTCCTTCACAGAGCAGTATTGTAGCATTCCTGAGTGAGTTACTGCCTGGGGTTTTGGCCCTGTTTACAAAGTTAGTGACACCGTTAATGTGAACTGGATATTTAACCAATTGACGCCTAATGTTATGGCTATTCAATGTTTTCAGTTGTTATAAAAATAAACAGTTGGCACAGGTGCCATGCAGTCATTGTTAAGATGAACCTTTTTCTTGGCAAAAACATCCTTTGTCTTAAAATTCTTACCTTTGGAGTCCCCTAAATATCTATTGTTGACTCCTTCCTTCCTGTACCCACCTGCTATTTCCCACCTACGTGCTGACTTTCATCTGAAAACAGTCCCTGTTCACATGTACACTAATGCCCAGTTCGAATTCATCCCCCACTTTCTCTTGACGCCTGTTACAAAATTGTCAGTACTGGATGAGCAGAAATTACTTCTACTGAAACACTGGAAAAATTGAAGCCTTTGTCTTTGGTCACCGCCACAAACTTTGTATTCTCCTTGAAATTATCTGAGGCCCGAACCAGACTGTTCAGAGTCCTAGCTCGTACTTAACCTCAAATGAACATTCAACAGCATTTTTGCTGTAAGTCACCAATTTCCACCGCTGGATGAGCTGAGGTACCTGCTGAGTTGGGCAGTTTTACACTGCTGAAACCCTCACCAATATCTATTCCCTCTGGACTTCACTTGTCCAGTAAACTCCTGACTAGTCTTCCACGTCTTATGTAGATTTGAGGTCATCTAAAACTCTGTGGCCTATGTACTGATTTGCACCAAATAATATTTACCCATCACCCCTATGCTTCCTGACCTACACTGGCCCCAGCTATGCTTCCTGACCTACACTGGCCCCAGCTAAGCAATACCTCAATTTTAGAAATCCCATTCTAGTTTTTCAATCCCTCCATGCCCTTATCTGTCTAGTCTTTGTAATCAGGAACCTCTTTCAACTCCTTAAAACCTACTCAAACCAAGCTTCTCTCCATCTGCTCTAAAGCCTCCTATGTGGCTCAGAGTCCAATTTTGTTTTATAATGTTCCTGTGAAGCGATGTAAAAAATTTTATGTGGAAGTCTCTATAAAAATACACAGGCTTGTTGTTCTTTACTCGATAATCCATGACTCAATTCCAGTTCGGAATAAATGGTGCCTAAATTTAACCCACAAACTGCTTACATCAACAGGTTTGCATTACATTTACTAACCACTCAAGGTGATTTACTTAAGCCACTGGATAAATAAATTTAGCCCTTATTTTGCAAGAATCATAATCAGTCTGAACAAAATGATTTATTACTGTTAGAATCATAGATAGCAGCACTAATAAGTAGTAGATACATTTATAAATGTATAAACAAGTAGAATTAGTTACAAAAGCAATTGAGATATTTAATTTCTGCTCTAAATTGGATCTTAGCTCGTTCAAAAGTAATTCTGTCAACCTTCCATTCCCAATTATTTATATTATAAATTTGTGTGTGCTACTTCTCATTGATCAATTAATATTTTTATTTCTACTTCTGCATATTCCATTTCAGTTATCAAAACATCATAACAATATTTTATCTCCTTTACCCCCCCCATGTTGGATTTGTAATACCTGCTGATACCCAGAGCAGTGTTGAAGTTACATGTAAAACCACCTAGCTAAGTTTCCCTGGCTGCCAAATCACTAGAATCCACCCTCTAAAGAAGTGATAAATGGAGCGAATACAGGCTGCAACAAAAATCTCAAGATAGTTCTACATCAGGAAGCTGATTTGGTCTAAAAGACTCACTCCACCCCACACCTATTAAAGTATTCATAGAATACCTTCAGTGCAGAAAGAGGCCATTCAGCCCATTGAGTCCACACTGTCCGAAAAGCATCCCACCCAGACACAGATCCCTACCGTATCCCGTAACCCTGCATTTATGATGGCTAACCCACCGAGTATGCACATCCCCTCCCCAGATACCATGGAGCAATTTTGCATTGATAATCCTCCTAACCTGCACATCTTTGGAGTATAGGGGGAAACCAGAGCACCCAGGGATATGCGACATGGGAAGAATGTGCAAACTCCACACACACAGTCACCATGGCTGGAATTGAACCCGGGTCCCTGGTGCTTTTAGCACACATTGTAAGGATTTCTGCTGTCAACTTGGAATGTCACCTCTCAGGCAGGCTCTTCCCATTCTGATTCTAGGCTGACTGCTCTTAGAGGGCATTGTTGTACAGATGATTGTCTCCTGCTAATTGGGATTCCATCATGTTTTATTTGGACGAAGATTAATGGATCTGTATTTGCCATTGTTTATTATCATTCCTTCTGAGTATAGTTGGAATATCATTACCAAGAGCGAGTGACTGAAAGACAACATTCTTCACATTGCTACAACAAAATGGTTCCAGTTACAAAGAAAAATTTTGGACGGTCCTCGAATGCTTTTTATAATGGAGTGATCAGGTATCAGTTGTGATACCGGGTGGTTTCTACTTGGCTGTTACAATGTACTGTTGAGAGAGCCTTAATTCATCTTGGCTCATTTACACGCACTGCATTGAACCCAGGTGTCCTGCAGTTGTAGTGAGAGTTTAAACAAATCTTGGCCAAACTTTTTTTTTCACGTATTAAGGGGCATCAGAGGTTCAGCAGCATATTAGGGATTTAGATATGAGGTCCATGGCTGGTTAAGGGGAAATACTTAGAAGGTGCTGTAACAAAAGGAAAAGCCTATCCTTTGTGCACTGGTTAGGATGTGAAGGTTTAGAGCCAGGAACACCAGGCATCTGCTGTAGAGTGGCCCAGACGAACCTTTACTTTGACCATTCAAAAAGTTGCTTTGCTTTTGGGTCCCTAAAGATATGTTCAACAAATTGTCTACTGATCTCCATGTAGGCACTGCCTGAGAATATGGGGGCTACAGTTGATATTGGTTTCTTAATGATGTTTGTCTTGACCATTTTCCTATTGACCACTCTGAAGCTGTATTTCCAATGCAACTGTTTCCTCTCTGTAGCCACTTCAGACTCTAAGCTGCTCCCCTCTTCCAAAAGCTGTAGCTGATGGACAATCTCAGAATTGGTTTTGATGGGAAAATCCATACCACACAGACTGATGAAATACGTCCAGGTTAAATGCCTTGCCAACAATTCCTCCATGCAGTCAAGCTCTGTCTGAACTCTCGACCAGGAGCCATAAACAAGATTCTCTAATTTCCCTGCAATAAAAATGTTTGGGAAGCAAGATGCGATGTTGTGAACTGCAGTTTTGAAATCAAAAGACAATTTGTTATCAATATGCATACAGTTAAATATTCTGGGGTATGTAAATTGTCCTCAAAAGTCTCTCAAACTGGTCAGTTCTTTG